TACACACACACTTACATAAACTTACACGCACACTTACAGACACTTACACACACTTACACACACTTACACATACATACACACAGACTTCCACAGACTTCCACACACTTTCTCATATTTACACAAAATATGGAATTTTGAAAACTTTTTCATGTGGTGAAGTGAACCTCAATAGTAATCTCTTAGCTGGAACATTTAGTGAAGAGCCTGGTTACTTGGTAAACGAGCAACCAAGCAAAGAAACAATCCAACAACCAAAAGGCGGACGAGCGGATAAGGAATGTAAGGAAGGAAAAAATAACTTGCTTTGAAGTTTAGGTCCAGAACCAAGGGACGGTCGTTTCTTTCTAGCAAGAGGCCAAGGTTTTAAAAGTATAAGGTAGCTAACTCACCTTGTATAAGGTAACTAACTCACCTTGGATTGCTTGGCAGACAAGACTAGGGGTAACTCAGCACACTGTCGTATTTCCTCAAAGCTGTATTCTTTGAGAAGTCGACCATTTTCAAACACGGTTACCAACAAATCCTAAGAACGTAATACAACAGTAAATCATTAATGCACTGTACTGCAACGCACTGTACTATATTTTTCCACATTTCTTACCTTTTTTGCGTCTCCTTTCCCTTCTTCTACTGTGATGTAAAGCCCCTTAATGTCTTTCTCAAGGGACAGTAGGCCTTTCTTAGATTTCTTGCTCAAATCTGTTATGGGCTGCTTATACACATTGACCTTTATTTGAAGAAAGAAAGCAAGAATTCGTCGACATCGTCGTCATCATCATCATCTTCGTCATCGTCACCATCATCATATTCTTCGTCATCATCATGATCATCATGATCATCTTCGTCGTCATCCCCTTCGTCATCATCATCTTCGTCATCATAATCATCTTCGGCACCATCACCATCATCGATCATTATTATCTTCTTCGTCACCACCGTCATCATCATCATCATCATTATTATTATCATTATTATCATCATCATCATTATCATCATCATCATCATCATATTCGCCACCATCATTATCATTATCATCATCTTCGCCACCATCATCACCATCATCATCATCATCTTCGCCACCATTATTATCATCATCGTCGTCACTACTGTCATTATTATCATCATCATCATCACCATCATTATCACATCCGATAAAAGTCGCACAGCAATATAGATTTGATTATTTTGTTTGTTTTCGTTTAGTTCCCTTTCGATTATTTGATTAGCCCATCTTGTTCAGTTGCTTCAACATATGGAACATTGTCACGAAATTTAGTCCCTTTTCACGAAACTTTTCTGCAATGCGCAAATCCACGAAATGTGCGCTGTTCCATGCAATTGACCACAAAAATTAACAACAAGAAGGTAATGGATAGAGCAATAGCGCAGCGCACTGATTCTAAAAATAGCTTAAAGATTCGGACRAACATTGCATTCTGTTTTACCGCTACGATGATTATACGAACCGATTTTATTATTTTTACTCAAAGTTACAATAATAACCCATGTAAACTAAGTTCAACTGCGATCGGCTGTGAAAATTATCTGCTGAAAATTTACTTCTAAGTTTGTTTGTCCGAATTTCGCCTTTGTCTTCGTTTTTATGACGTCACGACTGCGCTTCGCTATTATGAGTAGTTATATAGCCAGAGAAAAATAGGAATAAAGACAATTTACTCGAGCATAACACGCCCGTAAAGAATATTCAGGTATATTTCAGGTATATTTTAAAAGTAATAAAGTTTGACAGCAACTGGCCAATAACGTTGCCATAACAAGAATGATGTTTAAATTACCTCATTATTGTTGATCACAGCATAGGAACATTTGTAGGCAAACTTCTGAGTATCTCGGTCCAACCTTTGAAGAAGAGCACCTAGTGATTCAAGTGGAATGTTTGGTTAGCATCTCCTAATGTATGTGGTAAATGGAAAATTCGATATCTGATCAGGGCCGGCACTAGTCGTTATTGGGCTTTGTAACAAAATACCCCTCTATAACAAACACAATCTTCTTTCGTGTTAACAATGTTTCATAACTGACTTTGACCGTGCGGAAGTTTCATTTCGTCATATGTACTTACCTCCACTTCCAAATGCAATGTTGTCTGTACTCCATTTGTGTTTTTTCACCTTTTCAAGTATTTTTCCTAAGGATTCATAACTTATACCATCACCCTGACATTAAACAAAAAAGATGGCACATCTCGATTAGACTTTCGCAGGACGTAATGTTGGCTTTGAAGATCCCGGTCATTTTTGTTTTCTCTATCGTTTGCTTGTATCTTTGCTATAGATGAACTGGTACACATCTTATTTTGCTCTTTTTTGTTATTTTCCCTGTGGGTCTGTTTTTCAGTGCTCTGCAAAAATGAGGGCTGTTAACATGCAAGTAGCCAATCAGTCGGACAGCTCGTATCTTATACAATTTGCAGTCATTTTTTCAAAAATGGGACTAAATAATAATAATTAATCTTTATTCAGGAATGCCTACGTCACATAAATGTTTTACAGTAGGGTCCTAGGGACTAGTAAAGTGCACTGACTTTGATGCTCATATAAGATTGCATAGGTCCTAACAGATATGATGACTCACCTGGATTATCCTCACATAAGGAGGCAACATGTGAAAGCCCTTTGAATTCTTTGTTGTACCAAACGCCGAACCAAGTAACTCAAGAACCTTCACTACGACCTCTGGAGGGTCACCAGAGTCAGGCCGCGCCACTAGGATACCTACCATCACAGCAGTGAATAAGTCGTTATTTTAAAGCAGCATCATTGGATGATCAATGATGTATATTTCATCATGACGAGCTGGAGAGCCCATTTTACGGTAAACAGCATGTAGTCTTGGTTGCTACAGATAATAGTTAATCCGATTTCCGTGCTGTCAAGATGACGAATGCCAGGCAAAAACATCAAGCATCTGTAAATATGCC